AACCCTCGCCATGAAAGCCGACTATGTGTCGGTGTTGTCGCAGCCGTAGGGGTACTCACTATGTTGTACAGGAAATTCTCGTTAGCGGGTAGGAGGAACGGCATTCCACTTCCACCTGGACCTCCCCCCTGTTGGTTCTGGAGCAACGCTCTGCCTGCTGTCAAGTGAGTTTTGGAAATGCCATCCCTGATGTTCGAGGCTGATCGGGATCGTCCACCCAGCATCGCTCATGCGCTAACCGACTTGGTTCGAGAGTATGGACCAGTGGTATCGTTCCGACAAGGTAGCCAAGTAATAATTGTTATCGGCAGCGTTGAGGTAGACCGTCCGTACCTCAAGCTTCCTCTGACATTGACCTGACATTGACCCCTTTACCAGGCAGCCATGGATATCATGGAGAAAGAAGGTGGATCACTGGTAGATCGTCCTCGGTCTATCGCCGCGGGCGAGATGCTCTCAAGGGGGATGCGTCTTCTCATGGCTCGTTCGGGAGATCGCTTCCGGCGCCTGCGAAAAGTGATACATACCCATCTCCAACCGAAGGCGGCAGAGACATACCAAGATATGCAGCGCGAGAATGCGAAGAATTTTATATTGGATATCCTGAATGACCCAAATAACCACCGGGAGCACACAGAACGGTACGTCATTACCAAGACCTTTTGTGAATCTTTCAAAGACGTGGCTCCTCAAGGTATGCCATATCAGTCATTCTTCGGGTAACTTATGGGAAGTCTGCGCCGACTGCCAACACCGATCCTGAAGTGATCCATATCCACAAAATCCTCGAACATTTCCAGGTCGCGATGCGCCCAGGAGCTTATCTCGTTGATCGTGTGCCTTTTTGCGCTACTTGCCTGGTTACGGAAAACAACTTACCGAGTGGCATCATGATGAACTACAGCTATACAGACAACAACTGGGGCGCGTCAAGAGTGAAGCGGTGAGGGGCTTTTTGATTCGATGAACGTATGGCACTTATATCTTATACTCAGGACCAAAATAAAGGGGCCCCTCTTTTGCAAAGATGCTCTTGGAACACGTCGAAGACCACCAACTCTCTACAGATGAGATGTCTTATCTTGCCGGATCGCTCTTTGGAGCGGGATCTGATACGGCAAGTCATGCAACCTATTTATCTCTATGAACTTACTCATGCTTAGTTCAGACCGCTGTTGGAATTACCGCTGCTATCATGGCTGCGGCGTGCCACCCCTGGCTCAGGCGAAGGTGCATGAAGAACTCGATATGGTCATCGGGTCAGACAGAGGTAATGCTAAAGGGTATTAAATCTTTGATTTCTCGACTAATTTTTTCGGGATAGCACCGGCATTTAAAGACTCCAAGCTCGCTTCCTCAGTTGCACGCGTTCTTGTTGGAAGCTTTGAGATGGAGACCTGTCGTTCGTATAGGCAAGTCCTGAATTCCGCAAGTTCCCTGGACGACGCTGACATGCGCCTCAGGATTTCCCCCACCGTGCAACTAAGGATATCGTTTGGGTCAGTGCCTTGGATTCATGTGTGACCCGCATTCTCATTCTTTTCGTCTCCAATCAGCAAGGATATTCCATTCCAGAGGGTGCAACAGTCTATGGGTGCCATTGGTAGGGTTATGCTTCACAATGTGCAAACTTCATAACCTGCATCTTTTTCAGGGCTATTTCTCGTGACCCTATTGTCTTCCCGGATCCTGAGACTTTCAATCCCCAGCGCTGGCTTGATTCAGAAGGCCGTCTGAAGGACAATATGAAGTTTATCGTCTATGGCTTTGGTAGACGGTGAGTCGTGCCGACACAGTTTCTTTGACATCGATCAATGAAGTTCACCTGTCATCGAAAGTGTATGTCCCGGCCTGCAACCTCGACAAATCAGTCAATGTGCATCAACCTCGCACTTCTCTTCTGGTCTTTCCGCATTGCTCAACGACCTGACGCTGCTCCGATCAACACGCATGCCTTCAGTGACGATGGTTATTTCTCATGCAAAGCTATTTGAAATCGATGTTAGTCCGAGGATATGAAGTGGCGAATTGAGAGAGATGATGACGGATGGGTGTATGGGTTGAACACGCACAAGTGATTGCCACTAGCGCAGTACTCTTGTCAACAAGGTTCTATTCCATTATTAATAATTCTTTATACACAATGTCCGATGTAGCGAGACCATCATCCTCGTCCTCAGAAAACAGGATTGGCGAGTCATCTCGCTGCTGACAGAGAGAAAGGGCTGTATAGAATTGAACCTGACAGAGGTGGAGAATAGTCAAACCTGACATGTTTCAGTCGCTACTATCGAGACTTGAGAGCTGTTGTATTGTTGAGAGGTGATCCGTCAGAGCACCGAGCCGGTTCCAGATAAATATATCTAACTGTTCCAGTTCTATGTACCTTAGCTGCCAGTGTCACTGGACGTCATCCACCCTAGTTACTGACCATTTTCTCTTTTCTATTTAAGGATGGCTAGACGCTATACTCGCACCTCAGTCTTTCTACCATTGACTGAGGTGCGCATACCATTCATATTATACTATACATGATACTTACTAGCGGTCCTACAGACTCACGCTACCTTAGGTTAGTTTACACGAATAGAGTCTTTCTACCATTGACTGAGACTCACGCTACCTTAGTTCTCGCTCTTTAACAGGTTATGAGCCCTGACTAAAGGGTAGCGACATCTTCTCCTCGAAATCTCTCATTCTCTCGCCGATAACCACTCGGCTCTGACACTACCATGTCGTCTCCTGACTCCCTTCCCAAAACTGAACGATATCCG